AAATACCATCATCTCCTGAGTGTTATAATTTTCATTGAGAACTCAGTCTCAATTTTAGTATTGTTCCTTTGTCACCAATGTATTTTTTCTCTGAGTGATTTAAATTTCATTCTCTCACTTACTCTAGTTTCTAGCAGTTTTATTATCACATACCTACAGGTATTTTCCTTTAGGTTTATCCTGATATGGTTGAGGGTTTTTCTCGAATGTTAAAGTAGTTTCTTTTATTAATTTTGAAAAGTTAGTGTACCGTTGCTTTTTCAAATATTACTTTAGCCCCATTCTCTTTCTCTTCTAGGGGGAACTACTCTCTCTCTCTCAATATATATATATATATATTTATCCCCATTCTCTTTCTCTTTCTCTTTCTCTTCTAGGGGGAACTACTCTCTCTCTCTCTCTCTCTCTCAATATATATATGTGCACACACACACACACACACACACACACACACACACACATACGTATATGTTAGATCTGCTGCTTCGGTGTCCTGTCTCTTATGCTCATCTCTCTATTTTTTTATTCCTTTTCTCTCCAGGCTTCATTATGAATATTCTCTTCTGGCATATTTTCCAGTTCACTAATCTTTTCCCCAGAGTATTTAACCCACCATAAACTCCTTTTTGAGTTCATAAATTCAGTTATTAAATTTACAGTTTTAAAATTTCATTTAATCATTTTATTTATCGATTCTGATTCTCTACTGTAGTCTAGTTTTATTTGTTTGTTTGTTTTCACTTTTTCCTGGCTCTGCTTCTATTCTTTTCATCATGAATTTTTCCTGTGGAATTGCACGTCATTTGATCTTATTTCCTCTATACTTGGTCATGTTTAACTGATACCTGAATATAATACATGCAAAAAGTAGAAATGATGAAGCCATGGATGATGAAATTCATTTCCTCCAGAGAGGACTTACTTTGGCATCTCAAAGGCGATTGCAGGAATGGCAGATAAACTTAATCTGTGTTGGAGCTGATTCTATTTTTGCTCCATCCTTCTTCTTGGGCAGGAGTTGGTAAACGTTTTGTGAACAGGGCCAGATAGTAAATATTTTAGACATTGTGCACCTATGCTCTTTGTTGCAGGCCCTCTCCTTTGTCATTATAGTACAAAAACAATATGTAAGTAATGGATGTAGCTGTGTTCCAATAAAACATTACTCATAGCAACAGGTAGTTGCCTCCAGACCAGTTTTCCAGCCTAATCTTAGGGTTTATCTCTTCAGGGATCCTATCTCAAAACCTTATTTCATTAAAACTTCTCTGGGAAGGGCCCTAAACTCGAGTTGTTTTCATAGTCCTGAGAAAGTACTGTTAGATCTGCCAACTTTCTTGCCCTGGGCTACAGCTTTTGAATTAGCAAATCTCCTGAGGGGAAAAGCAATACCAAATGTTGAGTTTACCTCTGTGCACTTACTTTTTGTCAAAGATTTTAACTTCTAAAATAGTCATTTGGGATGGCAACAGGTGATATGGTGATTAAGGCACTGGACTCCTATATGGGTGACTGTGGTTCGAGTCCCAGACCCAGTGGCTTGAAAATCACACTGGGCACGTGTGTGTGCATGCCCAAAATCCTAAGAGAATGGAGGGGAAGGGATTTTAGCGTGGCCATTCCCCTAGGTGGTAATTTCTCACTTTCTCTCTCTCTCTCTCTCTCTTAAAAAAACAAACAAAAAAATAGTCATTTGGGCTAACTCTGATGCTTTCACAGAATTTTTTGTTTTTGTATTCATTCTAGTGTTTTTTCCTTGTTCTGGGTCCAAGTAGCCTATGAGAGCCAGAAGCAGATGACGATCTTTTTTGAAAATCATATTCATCATTGCCTTAATAAAGCGTGGAAAAAATCATCTTTATCTTTTGGATTTTGTCAGTAATTGTCAGATCACAGATATACTCTAAATCCCATTGGCTACCCTCTATCTTTATATGACTATTCCAATGTAATCTGTGCAATTCTCTGCATGCCAACTGTTCTTTTCCTAGTTCTTACCCAAAACAGACTCAATAATGTTCCTCTCAATATTTCTTCTCTAATTTATTCTCTGCATGGTAACTGGAGTGTTTCTTGTAAAACATCAGTTTGAGCATGTTACTCCCCCTACTTAAAACTCTTGAAAGATACCAATTTTCCTTAGAATATAAAGACTACCCATTTTCCTTAGGCAAACTTTAAGATGATTTATAAGGCCTTCATGATCTGGCTTCTGTCTGCTTCTCAACCTAAAATTTTAAAATATTTTCTGTAGTCATACTGTCTACCTCAGTTTTCCGTTGCTTAAACTGGCTACCCTCACTCCCACCTGAGTGCCTCTGCACATGCTCCGTCTGTACGTGCTCTCCCTTTTGCCTGGCCTTTGCCTTAAGTTCCTAGTGTTCCTTCAGGTCTCAACTTAGGTTAACTCTCCAACATCTCTAAATTCCTTTTGTCATACGGCACATGTGCTTGCCAGAGACAGACAGACAGACAGACAGAAAGGGAAAGTGAGAAATCACCTCCCAGGGGGGTGGCCACACCGCAATCCCTCCTCCTCTACTTTCCTCTTGGGATTTTGGGCATGCACGCACTCACATTCAGTGTGATTTTCAAGTCACCAACTCTGGGACTCAAACTAGAGTTGGCCATGTGAGTCCAGCACCCTAACTACCACGCCACCTACTGGCCCAAGTCTTACAGATTTTTAAAAGATGTTCTTTAACAAGAAAAATATGAAACAGTTTAAACGTATGAAGTGTCTTTAAAAAGTCTATGAAAATGTGTATTATGGGGACCAGCAGTGGGTGAAATAGCTATGTCACTGGACTCCCATGTAGTCGACTATGGTTTGAGTCCTGGACCCGGTGGTCTGTCTGGCGAACGCACACGCCTTATAGCAAAAAAATAAATAAAAATCTTCAAAAAAAAGTTTGCAGAAAATGACTATTATGAAAAAACTATGCATGGATTTAAAATATTTTACATCACAATAAACTCGTACATTAGTACCATTTTTTCTATGAACTATTTGAAGTTCTCTCATATTAAGGACCAGGCATTGTGCTAGATGTTAATCATTCAAGATCAAAATAGAAATTACCATGCCCTCTTGAAACTTGGAATAGTGTGGGGGTTACAAATAAGTGAGCACATAAATTTTTAACATAAGGGGATAAGAAATACCTCTGGGAATACACAGTGATCAAATCAGGACAATAAACGTATCCACCACTTCAAACATTTAGCATTACTTTTTTTTTGGAGAGGTTTTTGCTATGGGGCGCATGTGCTCGCCAGAAAGACAGAGAGAAACAGAGAGAAAGAAAGTGAGAAATCACTCCCCTCCCCCAGGAGGGATGGCCACGCCACAATCCCTTCTCCTCCATTCTTCTCTCAGGATCTTGGGCACACACGCACATGTGCCCAGTGTGAATTTAAGCCACCAGGTCTGAGACTCGAACTGTGGTCAACTACGTGGGAGTCCAGCAACACAGCCATTATGCTAACTGCTGGTCCCTAGCATTACTTTTGTTGTGCACATTCAAAACCTATTCATCTGCTCATGAAGCCTGAGTGAGCATGTTCCCTCACATCACTGCCCCCTCAAATGGACAACCCTGAAGTGAAATTGTGCACAACCTTAAAGGTCTCCAGTAGGATGAGACTGGTTTCTCACTGAGCTAACTGGCTTGATAAAGCACTCCATTCCCCTCTCACTATTGTTTGGGGTAATCTTACAAGTGAAGTGCTTACAAACGGAGCTCTATGACAAAGAGAATGAGTGAATGAAATGCTTTAAATACATTGCAGAGCGCTATGACAAAAAGAATGAGTGAATGAAATGCTTTAAATACATTTAGCAATGTTTACTCTTCATTTTGACGTTTACATTCACTTGGTTCTTAGTATAACCTTGCAAGCTTTAAACACAGTGTTTTTAAAATATGCACATGGAAAAAGAGGCTAGATGATCTCCTTGGGACTTTTTAAGCACGTTTAATGGCCACTGTCAACCTGATCTCTGGGTTTTGTAGGTTTCAGGCCAGGTGTTTGGATTGGGTACCATCATTTTCCTTCACTTGATACTTTATTTCCCATTCTTTCTTCTTTATTTATTTGTTGTTTTCCCTTCCCCATAATTTTCATTAAGGTTATGCTGACAGCTAAAGTGATAACACTTTGATTAATTAATAGATTTGGAAACTTTTAGAGAGTTTGATCAATCATAATTTAACAAAACTTCTTTCTCCCTCTGGGACTCTACGTCAGTTTTGGCTTGGGATTCTGGGAAAGGGGATAACTCCTCCCTTTCAGAGGTAACTCCTCCCTTTCAAAGTGAGCTTATCCGTGGAAATTCCAGGAGTTTAAAATTATTGACAAGCTACTTTGTAATTTATACCTGTGACATAGATCCGAGCTTGTGAATCCTTATGACTAGATAATAGTAAATTATTTCAAAACTGTGCATAGTGTTTGAAAGACCGGAGATGGACTGTAGGTTACCCATCTTCTCAGATTCCTTAGCTGTTGGTTTTAGAACTGTGCCACCATTTAATTGTGAAAGGGAGAAAGTTTGTAAAATAATTATGTGATGGGTGGGAGTAATATTCTCTATAGTTCCTTAAATGAGAATAATAAGATGGACTATATTTTTAAAAATAATTTACCATAATTTCCATTTAAAAAATTATTTCAAACCAGCATTTACACTTTTGTGTGTTTGTATGCAGTGGAGCAAGGCTATACATTTTTTTTTGATCCATAAATTCTGTACCGAAGATTATACTTGTGTCAGTTATGTTATAGAGATTAATACCTGGAGAGTAGTGAGGCTGCGAAAATGGTTTCTGAAAGGTTTTCCAAAACTGCCTCTTGAGTGTTCCACTGTGGAGTTTACAGGTGCAGGCAAGAAACAGGAGGAGGGGGAAGCTCAGCTGGGCTAGAAAACATGGATTTTCCCGGTCCCTGTCCTGGTTTGGCTGGCAAGTTTAAGGGCATTTTTAATTCATACCTTTCAGGTAGTATCCTTTTTAAGTGGATGACCATGGAACCAGAGAAGATTTCAGAGAAGCAGGAGGAAATTCTTTCTATTCTGGAAGAAAAATTTCCTAACTTGCCTCGAAGAGAAGACATCATCAATGTCCTGCAGGAGACCCAGTTCAGCGCTCAGGGTGAGTGTCTCCATCCCCTCGTTCTCTCCCTGCCCTGGGTAGGAATGGTTTTTGACGTAGTGTCCTCAGACCCAAGAAGGTTACTCTGAGTCTACTTCTCCTTTCATCCCTCTCACTTGTGCTTGTGGGAGATTTTCAGGCACATGATGCTGGCTCACCTGGAAACTGAAAGCTTGTCCTGGAGCCTCTCCTCTGGGGCCTTTGTGTCAGGATGAGGGTTAATTCACGCGTCTGACGCACACCCAGGTGCATCATTACGTGCAGTCCCTGTGCTGACAGCATTCTGTTTTGAGGCTGTGGCAGGAGCAATGTCAAGCACAATGGGATTTCATAAATCAATTACTTTTTAGAAAGAAATGAGAGAGAAGATGGCTAAGCTGATGAAATTGGTGTAGGCTTCACCAGGACAGTAAATTTCCCGGATCAACTGTGTTGTAATAGTAAATAGCTACAATTCGCAGAATGCCTAATCTGCACAAGATTCTGCTGTTCTAACTTTGCAAGGTTTACCCTGCATGGGGACAGCCCTGAGTTTCAGGTGTGCTATTACTCACAGGAGATGAGATGAGAATGCAGAAGCACAGAAAGGCTTCTTTGCTTTTCCAACATCAAGCATGCACAGCCAACAAATGACCAGGCCAGGATTACACTAAATTAGATCATTTTCTCCCTTAGTTTGAATGCTATTAGGGGCAGAACCTGAGGCAAAGCTCTTCACTTCTAAGATTATCCCAGACTACACTCATAGGGAAATGGAGTTCTTTATCAAGCCAGTTAGCTCAGTGAGAAACCGAAGTTTCATCCCACTAAATACCCTTAAGATTGTGTACAATTGCACTTCAGCGTTGTCCCATTTGAGGGGAACAGTGATGTGAGGGAACATGCTCACCCAGGCTTCATGAGCAGATGAGTGGATTTTGAATGTGCACAACAAAATAATGATACACGTTTGAGGTGGTGGATATGTTTATTGCCCTGATTTAATCAGTACGCAAGGGACGTGTGCTTTGAAGAACCACACTGTACCCCATGAATATATGTGCCTATTATATGTAAATGAGAAATTATGTTTAACAGAAGACAGAAGAATTTTGTGAGTTGACTGATACTGAATTGCTAACTTGAAATCAGCCATGGTAGGGGTAGTTACATCACAGGAATTGGGAAACACTACAAGTGAAAGTTTGTCGCTGGTTGTTAAACATTTTATCAGCAGACCGTTGGACTGCTGTGATTGGCATGTGGGACTGCCTTAACCACTGTGCCACCTGCTGGCCCCAGCAGACCTTTGGAAAAGTGAGAGATACTCAGTCAGATAGGGATATATTAATTCACCAGAATTGGCTCTGGTATCAGAGAAAGCCCTCAGGTAAAGAGGTGAGGGTATTAATTCACCAGAATTGGCTGTGGTATCAGAGAAAGCCCTCAGGTAAAGAGGTGCAGGTGTGGGTGGTTTGGCATCAGCTTGGTTAACCCTGAAATGGGAAGGTCCAGGGAAATGTGAGTGGGACTCTGATGGCATCTCTTATACCTTCTGTCACTTGTGCACAAATATAGTTGTTCATGTATACATAACTGCACAGTGGTATGCATTTTGTTAATCATTTTCCAAACTACACTAAACTGTTTTTTTTTTGAAGATTTTTGCCATAAGGCACATTTATTCACTAGAGAGAGACAGAGAGAAAAAGTGAAAAATCACCAGCCAAGGGGGATGACCACACTACAGTCTCTTCTCCATTCTCCTCCTGCGATTTTAGGCATGCACATATATGTGCCCAGAGTGATTTTCAAGCTGTCAGATCCAGGGACTCAAACCATGGTTGGCCATGAGTGAGTCTAATACCTTAACCACTGGCTGGCCCTCCACTAAACGTTTGATGTTACAATATATTCTATAAATCCTTTATTGCTGCAATGTAAAAGACTATGGCCTTTTGATCTTTGAGTCTGTTTTTCCGTGTTGCTATGATTGAAGAGTGTTGTCAGTTGACTCTGATGTCTTACCAAGCATCTGGAAAGAATAAATGTGCCTTATTAGCCACTCCTTCCAAAGAGAGTAGGCATAACATTTGCTGTTAGAATTAAATGTCAAGCCAGATCCTTTCCTGTTTTGCTGTGGTAGATTTCATTGAAACACATTGGTCGATTCAACAGAACCATGCAGTTCTGGGTAATTTTGCCATGCTGGATTATTTGTCTCATCAATTAAGGAATTCAGTAGCTCTTAGTACCAAAGCCTATTATGAGGTGACTAACTTCTTTGAGTTTTATGGGTCATAGTTACAAAGTCTATCTTGAGTAGGAAATACAGGGGCTCCCCTACGTGCATGCTGAAAGCATATTTCGGCCCTGTTTGGTATAATTTGACTGGCTTGCACGGTTATGCTAGTTTTGTCTCAGTTGCCCACCTGCACCTATTCCTTCCCTGCCCTTGCCTGCTCTTGGCCTCCAGAGGCTGACTCTTAAGGATTTAATCTGGTCTCCCTGGACTGGCTTCTGGCTGGCTTTGTCTAGTGGGGATAGTTGGTGACAGTTGGGGGTAGAATATCCTCCACTACAGGAGAAGGAGGAGGCTGTAGTATGTCTTCCCTGCTCCCTTCCTGATTTGGTGCTGAACACCCCATCTTCACCAGTTCTAGATCTTTGTTTCCTCCCATTGCTTGTCCCTTTGCTAGTCTCCGGATTCCTTGTCTTTTTAAAATTTTTTTAAAGGAAAGGCCCTTTTTTAAAAAAATAATTATTTTATTTAGTTTTATTTATTTATTTATTTTTTAATTTGACCAGAGAAGGACAGAGCAAGAGCAAGAAAAAGAGACATAGAGAGAGAGAGAGAGTGAGAAAGCAAGACACCAGGCTTGGGACTCGAACCATGGATGGCCATGTGGGAGTCCAGAGCCCTAACCACCATGCTACCTGCTGGCCCCTGGTACACCACCACTTGCTGGCTCCTGGATTCCTCATCTTCTTTAATTCACTCTCTCAGTTCTGCCCACATCTCTATAAATGCTCTGCCATTAAAGAGTCTTCTGCATCATGAGATGTAAATTTTCTTTTCTGCTTCATCCTAACTAACACAGACGTTGTCACTGATGTGATTTTCGCCTTAATGAGTGTGTATGTGGATGTATGTGTGTATTGTGGATAAAAATGACATTAAAGTTAGCCACCGTAGCATGCACTGGTTAATGCTGCTACTCAGCAGGTTGTGTCTACACAGGGGACTGGGTTCATTTCCTGGCCCATCCTGAAAGCCTGGAGTGGTGGCATGTACCTGTAATCCCAGCCACGCAGGAGGCTGAGGCAGAGGGATCATGAGTTGAGTCCCTCTTGGACAGCAGTGTGAGATTCCATGTGAAAGAGCTGGGTTGGTGGTGCATGCACCTGCCAAGGGGGTGCCAGCTACTTGGAAGCTGAGGCAGGTTTGCAAGTGATATTAAAGGGTAAAATACTAAAATGAACTACTCTTAAAATAATTCTTTGATATTATAAAAAAAAAGTTTCCCCGAGAATAATGTAGTATTTTTCCCCTCCCATTCACAGGTTTAAGTATTGAACAGACAATGTTGAAAGATCTCAAAGAACTGTCAGATGGAGAAATAAAAGTGGCCATTAGCTCTGTAAACATGAGCCTCGAGGTAAGGGTGAGAAGCTTTTCCAACAATGATAGATTTCACACATTTGCAGGCTGAGCAACTGGAATACAATTTTCTCTGTCCTATAAGCCAGTGTTAGTTTTTTGCTGTGAATTCTTCTTTGTGGTTTATTTGACTTGAAATGCAGGTTATTATTTGTGTGAAACACTGTGCTGAATCAATGAAATATGCCAAACCCAGATTGTCAAGATGAATGTGCTTTTATTCATCCAGTTAAGCAAATCTTAAAGCACACTCACACGTGTGTATATTTAACCTATTTAATAGCAACTAAAATAGATGTGATAAAGTGCATGCTCATATTTTCTACATACCACTATGTGTTGTTCACAGAACTTTTCTAAGAAAAACAAACTGTTCTTTGGCCTTTGAAGGTATTTGGATGTATGCCATTTTGGCTATCAATAGTGATACCTCAAGTAATAATAAGTAACCCTCTTCTAATTTATTAAATGAATGACCAAGAGTAAATGCTAGTCTTGTCTTTATGAATTTCCTTGGCAAATATCTGTTTTCTACTTTGGGAGTTTTCGATGACTTGCATGTTAATCTTAATTAACCTTACTAATGGGAACTATATTTTACAGAGGCACATTTCATGTTGGGCAGAAATCTATGGATTTTCTTGCTGTTGTATTGCCCTTGATCAAGCTATTTACCTGTGGTTGAGGCGCCTAGCTCTCAAGTCAAGTTTATGGAGATAAAACTTGCTGAATTGGACTTTGTCTTTTGGTTTTTAGAATTGTATGCTACTATTCTTTCTGTTTTATTATTTTTTCTCTTTCATGATCATGGTGACTCTATCAATGTATATATTTCTGTGGAACAGCCAGCATTCATATTTGGTGTTCATACCTTGGGAAACCCAAGAGCAAGCCAGGGGCTTTTTTGTGATCCCTTTGTAAAATTTATTCCCGGTTGATTGAAATCATAATTCAGTTTGAGGATCTATCGAGGCACCAGGAGACAGCCTGTTGTCACATTATATAGTGCCTCATAGTTTACAGCATGTATTCTTATTGCGTATAGTTGGTAGATTGACTCAACTATTTCTACGGACTTTTAGGCTAATAAGTGCTCCATATAATTAGTTGTTGATGTGAATCACTACAAGACATACATGCAATTTGGAATGTAGGAACTGGATAATCACCTTCAATTAGAAATCTGCTTTGTGTCTTGAAACTCTTGGAAAACATGGATCTTGCAAGGGTCAGTAGCTCTGAGAATCATTTCTACCAGTTCAAGCCTTAGGGTTTTATTTCTCTTTCTCCCCTCCCCTCCATTCTTTTGTTTAATGGCATCTTATTAGGTTTTAAATGCCTTGTTTGGAATTCCTTTCCAAATTAACATAGAACATCTCATAATTGCTTAGGGAACTGTCTGTAGTTAGCAAATTATTGTAACACTATTAATATTATAGATTTACCATAGCTCTAATGTACCTTCATTTATATTATCAGAGTATACAAATGGCTTTGTAAGATACATTAAACTGTAAATGTTTACCAAGCAGAATAAGTGATAAAATAATTATCTTAATCTTGACAGTAATTTACTTAGAGGTCCAGTAATTAATCAGGTAGTTAAGTACATCTGGAAGCACTATATGATCTTCTGAGAGGATGGGAGAAGGACTTTGTATGTATAAGGAAGGATATACAGTTTAAACTCTCATCAGCTGAATGAGCTTTTTGCTTGTGTGTATTGAGGATATTAAAGGTGGCCGTGAAATGAAGAAAGAACTGCTTGTAACATTATATATCTTCCTTGAAAGAGAGTTGTTATTATTATTATTATCATTGTTATTTTCAGACAAGATCTATGTATGCTGCAATCCTGCCTCAGCCTTCCTTGTAGCTGGGATTATAGGTGCACCTGGATTTTTTTTTCTTTTTTTTTTGAGAGGTTTTTGCTATAGGGCGCGTGCGCTCGCCAGGCAGACAGCGAGAGAGAGAAACAGAAAGCGAAAAATCACCCCCCAGGGGGGATGGCCACGCCGCAATCCCTTCTCCTCCATTCTCCTCTCAGGATCTTGGGCACAAACACACACGCGCCCGGCATGAATTTAAGCCACCGGGTCCGGGACTCGAACCACGGTCGACTATGTGGGAGTCCAGCAACATAGCCATTATGCTAACTGCTGGTCCCAGGTGCACCTGGATTTTAAGGTGGGCTGAGAATTGAATCCAGGCCTCTCATGTGGCCTTGGACTGCCAAGTAACAGTGTCTGCTGACACCTGTCACTGTGGTTAGGTGAAGGATGCCCATTATTTATCCTACATATTGGAAGGATCCCCAAGTTAAGGGCAGAGTTCTCATTCATCTCACTTTTAAAAATAATTACAGAATCCCCATAATTCTATGTTGTATATTTTGGAATAGTTGTGTAACTGCTCTGTAAAGTCGAGGTAATTCTCAAAGAAATGAGTTCCTATGACCTAAATCTTCTTGTCCTCCAGAGCATGGTCAACCTAGGTATTTCATGATGACTCTTATATATCCTCTATTTTTATTAACAGCCTCTGAATTCTTGCAAAATTTAGTTTAAAGGACCAATTTGATACTTAAATGAATACTGTATCTTCCTTCAATTTAGAACTTGTTTCATATATTTAATCCTAGTTAAATAGTATTTTAAGTCAATTGAGGGTAATGATTGTATCTTTAACTTCTGTCTTCCTTTAATTTTCTGGCACAATACTAGGCATATAGTAGGTGCTTAGTAAATATAAATACTTAGTTAATATGTATTGGTGGGAGCCAGCAGGTGGCATAGTGGTTAAGATGCTGGAGTTCCACGTGGTCAACTGTGGTTTGAGTCCTTGACTCGGTGGCTTGGAACTCGCACCAGGTGCATGTGCATGGGTGCCCAACATTCCTAGAGGAGAATGGAAAAGGGACTGTGGTGTGGCCATCCTCCAGAGGATTGATTTCTCACTTTCTGTTTCTCTGTCTCCCCAGCAAGCACATGTGCCCTATAGCAAAAATCTCTCAGAATAATAATAATATGTATTGGTGTTTGCAGTTTGTCCCTTTGACATATGATTTTTATTTCCTCATGAATTTTAATAAATAAGCTAGGAAAGCAAAGCTATTTACCTAGGCATCCAAGGCAACCTACTTTCCCCCTTTCAACCAGTTTCTTCCAGACAACTATGGCTTAAGGCTGACATTTAATAGATAAAAAAATGACCCACATTTTACAGAGAATACTGCTTATCCAGCTATCCAGAAGTGGAGTGGGAAGCATTGCAAGGAAGTTAGCTGCTGTCACTGGAGGAAATCAACCGGAAGTTCTGTAGCATGTCCTGGATATAGGGAAGAGGATTTCTTATATGTTCTGTGGTCTTTTGCAATGCTATAACTCCACAGTTGACAGTGTCGTAGCTTTTTTTTCTTTTTTTAAGAAGTTTTTGCTTTAACATGTGTGTGCTCACCAGACAGAGAGAGAGAGACAGAGAGACAGAAAGTGAGAAATCACCCCCCCAGGGGGTTGGCCACGCCACAATCCCTTCTCCTCCATTCTCCTCTCAGGACCCTGGGCATGCACATACACCCAGCATAAGTGAAAGCCACGGGGTCCGAGACTTGAACTGCAGTTGACTACATGGGAGTCCAGCGACACAGCCATTACACCATCTGCTGGTCCCATCATGGCTTTTATTTGTCTGACGACCTAGTTAATTTTGGGGGGAGGAAATATTAAGAAAATTAGAAGGATTTGTCTGTTTGCAACATACACAGCATGTTCTTCAGAGGGAACCACTGAAGGAAGGTAGAATCACCGCCTTTGACAGACAAGTTAATTCTGGTCCTCCACGTGACGAAAAAACTTCTAAACACTTTATCTCTCATTTTTATATAGTATATCTCACAAATCATCACTGTAACCTAATCAAGGTTTTATGTTACTAAAAATCTGCCACAGGCCCAGCAGGTGGCATGGTAGTTAAGGCACTGGATCCCATGTGGCTGACTCCATAGTTCAAGTCTCAGACGTGGTGGCTTGAAAAACATGCTGGGCACATACACATGTGTGCCCAAAATCCTAAGAGGAGTCTAAAGAAGAAGGGATTGCATTGTGGTCACTTCCCTGCTCCCCCTCCAGGTGATTTCTCACTTTCCTGGCAAGTGCAATCACATTATGGCAAAGCAAAACAAAACAAAACAACTGCCACAAAAAAGCAAATAATTGTAATAGTACAGAGTTTCAGTGCTTTGATCAATATATGAGGTGAGAATGAATGTGACTGTGAGGAGAGGTGGGTAGAAATGGCCTTATCAGAAATGTGACTGAGGGATAGCCCTTCTTACAAAGGTCCATGTCATATGACCACCGGGCCAGTCCAAGTCTAAATGTGTGCATCTTGTGGGCTAGTCACGGTGCATATTGGAATTCACCTTCTCAATTATCATTGCATCTGACCCTTTGTATCCTTTTCATTGCTTGCTGATTTGATTATCAGGAGAGAACTTACATATTCCAAAACATATGCTTAATTGGAACAAACTTTGCTTTTATTTCTTTGCCAGCAAAACAGATAGTAATTATATGAGGAGTCTTCAAAAAGTTCACAAAATATATGTATTATGAAAAAACTATGGGGAACCAGCAGTTAGCGTAATGGCTATGTCGCTGGACTCCCACGTAGTCGGCCGCGGTTTACATCCCGGACCTGGTGGCTTAAAACTCAGGACGGGCACGTGTGCATGCGTGCCCAAGAACCCAAGAGGAGAACGGAGGAGAAGGGATTACGGCGTGGCCATCCCGCCTGGGGGGTGATTTCTCGCTTTCTGTCTCTCTGTCTGTCTC